AATTATCAAAATAAAAATATATATATCATAATACACTGATCATTATAGTTTTATAAACAATTTTAGAAAATATAAAAAAAGAGAAAAATCCTTGAAATTATTAAAATTAAAAAAATATATATTTCATGTCTTCACAGTGTATTCCATATTGCACTGACCTAGGCATCGTAACGTTCCTGCACACATAGCATACAATATGCACATACACACACACATATACACATACATACCCATACACATACGTATGGTCATGTGAACACCCTCGATAAGTCAACAGCTTTACGGCATTTAGGCCATGGGCTGCCTGTTATTCTGTGGAGTTACATTTTGTGGTCGCATTCGCGCATGGGCATGCGATGCATACCAAATGCCAAACTCCACTTGAGCGACATCTCCATATACATATGTATGCCAATGAGTCCTGTGTGGCGCGCTCTGCTCGCCCAGTAAATTTCCAATTGGGCAGCAAAGTTTGCCGCTGCTGTGAGTCATCGGCCATCATCATTCGCGTTCGCGTTTGCGTTCGCATTCGCATAGTTTTCGTTTTTATTTCCTTTTTTTATGCTGCAGTCGTCCTACACGATTCGTGGTGTGCTCTTCTTATTCTCTGCGAGAAGCGACGCGAAACGGCGCGACGCCACGAGCAAAGCGACCAAACAACCAAAGCAACCCACGCAAAAGTTCAGTTTCTCAGTGTCGCTCAGTGTGAACGGGTTTCTCCGGGTCTGGTTAAAGCCAAATAAAAACAAATAACAGAAGAAAAAGAACTATATATATCGTAGAGCAAAGTGATAAGGATTTCCAGCTCAACTGCAGTCGAGTTACAATAAAAAATATAATCATAATAAAATGTGGCGAATGACGCATCTCCTGCTGCTGGCACTCAGCCTTGGATCTCTGTGGATGTCAGGTACAAATCCTGCTGCATTACACTATCCAGTTGGATTCCAATTAGAATCTGTTCAATGTTTTCGAATATAAGTTCTTCGCATTTGCATTCGGTCCATTCACATCACGCACACACAATTATTTATAGCACACTTGGCATTCATAACGACTCACACATACACATACATACATACATTTGCAATTTGTGCTAAAATCTATGGCATCTGTTTTCATGGAATATTCATCTGATCCATTAGCCTTGTCTCTAGCCATCTTAGCCAATTGAGCGATGCCAACATACTAAGTTTATCAATCATACGCCATGTTGACAGATCTGCCAATTATATAGACATGTAGTATATATACTCATAAGATTTTCCACTTTTCATTGTATTGCATAAAAACTATTCAAAGAATAGATATTATGAGCACATATAATACACTTGCCAAGGTTGCCTAGCTCGATTCATTGTTGCCATATGGCGGCATCCACTTTGCATCTCTGTGGACTACAAAAATGTTGCCGGGTAAACAATCCTTCAAGTTGTATAAGCACATAGATTATGGCGTGATTAGGCAAAGTGCCTGCAGTATATCCAAAACTGGATGCATAGCACAAAGTGCAAAATGGGAAAATGAGAGAATGCGCGAGGAGGCAACGCTCAAGAAATCGATGGATTAACCCAACCCAACACCACTCAACCCAACCCAACCCAGCCATCGTCTCTGGTGCATTAGCCTCCCTCTAACATTTTGGTGGCAGCATTTAACGGCCTACGCCAATTTGCATACGCTGATTACTTTGCAACTATTTAAATATCTTTAAATCCAGCTAGACTCTAAAATGTGCTATAAAATGTTTGCAATGAGCTTTAAGTAAACTTTTCATATCTTGTGTGGAATCTGAGTTAAGGAATTTAATATTTAATATGCTTGGAGTGAAAACAGTATGAGGGCTTTACGTTAATGTAAACCAAACTAGAGTTTGCACTAAATACTTTTATATATGCTTATCTGTTAAAGTGATGGGATCGGAAGTTTATGAAGGTTTTACTCTAACTTTATTTATCTTATTTATCTGCCATATAGAGAAATCGAGAGCATAAGAATCAGCTGAAATATTACACCTATTAATTTGCTACAATTTTTTTAATTAACTTGTGATTTCTTTAATACTTTCAAAGTTGTAAAATATGTGGACTTACGGATTATTTTTTTTGTCTTCAAATTCTTATAAAATAATTTTCTCAATGCAGACTAAGTTTTTCAAAAACAAATTTAGCTTACTTTTAGTTCTCTTTTTTAGATAAGAGTCAAATTTGCAAATTTAGCTGATTTCGAATAAAGCTTAAACATAATAGCATAACAGAACTTAGATTGCTTAGAAAACATTTACAGTTAAAGAGCTTGCAAAATTAATTGGAGTCATGCAAAGTTTAAGAGAGAAAATTTAAGAGAATCAAAAGTTTCACACCAGCAGCAATTGCTCTCTTAATTTTAAAATTTTTATTAGATTTTTTTATTGCAATTCTTGGAACAATATTCAGCAGCATAATTATATATGCATATATATAAATGTGTATGTATATGCATACGTACATATATATATATTTATGTATATGTCATATAATAATAATAGAATATTAAATGGAATATTTCGTCGAGTCTGTTTACAAGCTCTAAACTATTCGCATATTAATGAATGCAAATGTCGAGTTATTCATTTCTATTCACATCCAGTTAACTATTCACAATATGGCAATAGATCCATCTATAAGAGAATCTAACTTATCGACAATAGAGTCACGTCTAGACGTATATTTAGCAATAGAGAATTTCCTTGTAAACCGCGCAAATCATCTATGGGAATCGCGTCTTGTGGCCGACCGAAGCGATGACAAATTGATGAAATTCGGAAGACGGCGCGTGTAGTGCGCACCACCATCGAGCCTGCGAACCACCGAACCACCGAGCACCACTGACTCGGCACCACCGTGCTGATGAGCTGTACGCACTTGTGTGGCTAACCGCAAATGGACAAATTAGTGTCACAGCACACACTCATCCATGGAGTGGACAGTGGGAGAGGGGACAATGAGCACATTGGATAAAAATATCAACATGATTAAAGTGACTTTGAATAATCAAGCGGCTAAATGAATACGGGGAAATGAGTGCATGAATGGGTGAATGAATTGTGTTCTTCTTTAATTATTATTAATATGTAAACAGCATTGACAGTTGAGCTGCTAATGAAGGCTTGAGAATTTAGATAGTGCAGCTTTGACCTTGATCCTTTTTGTAAGACGAATAGATAAAGAGAAGTCTCTATAAAGAATAGATAGGGAGATGTCTCTATAAAGGCGAATAGATAAAGAGAAGTCTCTATAGAGATGAATATATATATAAAGGGAAGTCAATTCGTCGCTATATGTTCTGGTTATATCTATATAAAGAAAAGTCTATCAAAGAGAAGTGTGTACAGAGACGAATAGATTAAGATGAGTCTAATGAAACGAACAGATAAAGGGAAGTTAATTCGTCTCTATATGTCCAGGCTATATCCATATAAAGATAAGTCTATTCGTCTACTTGTCTCTATAAGTATGTCATACCTAAGCAACAAGTTATAACATGACTTAAATGTTGAAGTTGCTCTAAAATGATAGCTATTGATGATATTCGAGAGTATCTTCATATGTCTTATAGGATGAGCCATGTCTCACTTTACTTCTTACATATATGTATGTATTCGATCTAAAATAATAAATCTTGAATTGAATTATCTATAAGCTCACTCCACTATACACGACATGTTTGACAAAAAAATAATCTCGTAGTTCTCTTTCAAATTGTTTGCTTATTTTAAAACAAGTCAGCGTAGAATATTAAAGAATTTAATAGAAAACCTAACTTAGATATAATTGACATCATTAAAATTTATTTTTAAATACTAAAATTACAATACCATTAAAAAATACCTTAAAATTGTTATAATATATCACAGTAGTAGAAACATTTGTTGCTTTCAACTTGGATTATAATTGGCATTTCGATTATATTTAAACTGGTTTGCAATTAGCTAAAATGTCAATTACTATTATTTAGTCTTTATAGCTATAAATGCAGCTAGTTGACAGTTCTCTGAGTTTTAATGAAAATCTGTATTTACAGCTGTTGCTTAACTAACAACACTTTGACCTATAATTAAATTTAAGTTTATAATTTCCATTGCTCAACTATTGCGATTGCTTTACTTATCTAATTGCTGCAATTACCAAGTACTTAACATACTTAACAGTTATTATTTCACATAACTACAAGTATTCATGCATCTTGAGCTCAAGTCTCGCACGAAGCTCCCTAGCTTTCTAGAGCTGTGACCCAATTTCCGTGGACTCCCACAAGTTGGTGGCTAAGCGTTCGATAAACAGGATAAATAAATTAGCACACGCTGTGGCTGTGGCTGTGGCTTATAGCGGGTATTTGCCAATTTGAGCGACGAACTAAAAGTGCAAATGACGCAAGCGAACCATATTGCGGGAGCCTTGACATAAATCAATATACAAAGCATACCCGTGTTTGAAATCCCGAAAAATGTCTGTCCAGAATGACGAACGGACAAACGGATGGACGAACGGACGCATAGACAATTCCCGCTGAAACATATAATGACCTCGAAGCGCTGACATGGCGTGGCGTGGCACGGCTGGGCATGGCATGTGTAGAAAGACTCGGGAAACTATGGGGACTATGAGCTGTGAAATGGGCGTTGACACGCTGCCAGTGGCCAGAGCTGCGCCCATTTCCTAATGGTTTTATGTTGTTGCCGTCGAGTGGGTGTAGCTGGGCGTTTGGGAATCTAAGCTTAGGCCTAGCTAAGCTCGAAAATCTGAAAGAGTTCGTTGAGGGCGGGAGGGGAGGGATTGGGTCTGCCATAGAGTGGTTTTCAATGCATAATTGGAGCTTAATTACGTCCAGGTGTGCTGTTGACCTTGCCTCGCCCACATTTACTAATCTATGTATATGTATTTCAGCACACGCTGAGGAGATGTCGAGCGACTATGAGAATGAGAACGAGAATGACTATGGGGAAGATGATTCAGCGCGCTCGCCTGGCAACTTGGCCAAGTCGACGGCGGCTCCACTGGTGCCCTTCTTCAACCAGAAGGCGGGCGTCGTGCACGTCGATGCCAGTGCGAGCAATGTGAAGATCGACTGCCCAGTGAAGAACTACGATGGTATGGATTGATGATTGCAGCCAGTTGAGATGGGTTCCGGCTTTCATGTTCCATTCCATTGCAGCCAAACACCATGTGATTCTCTGGTATCGCGAGGAGACGCTGGTCGTGAACGGCAATCAGTCGGTGATCGACATCTACAAGCTGGACAGCCCCTTCGTACTGCTTGCCCCCCTGGCCAATGCAACGGGCCACAGCTTCCACTGTGAGGTGCTGCCGTCGGGTGTGCGGCGCGACATCTCCGTCAAGTTGGCACCGACGCCACCAAGTCCTCCGCAGCCAAACGCGACGCCGGCTGGCCACAGCTCGGCGCCTCCAGCGCTCAGCTGGCCAACAGCTCTGAAATGTCTCATTCTCAGTATACTTATCCGTGCACATTTCTAAGCCACAACAAAATCCACACACATTTAACTAATGAATGCACCACCGGCACCACCTTGTACTTTTTCAACTGGCAAAAGGACTTACTGAACAGCGCACAATCAAGGACGAGCTTGTATCCAAAATAGTTCAATCTGAGCAAATCTCTCGCATTAGCCAATGCCTTGGTTCCATTTCCTCCCCCCATCAGGTGGAGCTTGAATGGATTGCTTCTCCACTTAGGTGTTGCTTTATTAATCTAGATTAGCCATAAGAGATTATATATATATAGTCTGTATATATGCGCCTATATACAAATGTTGAACGAATCTGCTTTATTATATATATATACACACAAATATATGTGAAAATGCTTATCAATTATAGGATCAATAGCTGCTAGACGAAAAACCAGAAAAAGTATATAGAATTTACAATTAACTATGTTATTATTGATCCGATTCAGTTGCCTTAGCTAAGAGTTTGTTGTTTCCCTATCAAAATTCTATAAATATGTTTTATCTGAACTTTTCTTAACAAATAAATTTAACTTAAGTAACTAGCTTAAAACATAAGATTCCAGCAGTAACAAATAGTTCATAATTTCAATAGATCTTTATTTTATATACAATATATTATTTTTGTTAAAACTGTAATGAAACAAATGCATAAAATGTAATATTTCCAAGTGTCTTAAGCCGAATACAAAGAAGAATAAAAATAATAAAAAATATTTTGAAAATCGAATTGGAGCTCTTCACATTTTGCAGCAGTGCAATCAATGCAGAAGCCGTTAAAAATAAATAATAATAAAAACTTCAATTTCAGCCTTTCATAATGAGAGTGTCGTGAAAGAAAACCCACCCTTAGAGGGAACACGCTCAGAGTTCCATAGAGCGCATAGTGGAGCGAATAGGGGCGACTGCACAATTAAACACCCGCCGCGCTAGACAGAGACAGAGTCTGCCACTCTCCCTCTCTGTCTGTCTTTCACTCTGTCACACAAGCAGCTGCAGTTTGTGGGTAGGAATTCCGCAATGTGCGCAGGACATGCAGGCCATATGGCCTGGCAGGCAGGCAGGCAGGCAGCCAAGCACAATGGGCCAGGGCAGAGCCAGGGTGGTGGAACCGACGCAAGCCAAGCGCGGCTCAAGAAACACGAAACTTCCTGCGGCAGTCGACAGCGGCACGGCGACCAGGACACAGCTCGAAACAAATCTGTGCGGCACATCAGAGATAAACTCCGACTACTTCTAACTGCTTAGGCCAGACTCGCACTCACTTCAAATGATTCCCAGCACAGAATGCATTGACACAGCTCAGGCTGGCCTTGAGTCTCCCAGCAACATGGGAGTCTGGAGCGAGCAGAGTCACTGCAATCAGCTGCAAACTGCCGCAGAGGTCTATCGTCGCATTTTGGAGCGCATGCAGCGGGAAGCTGGCTGCGAGGACAACAGCAGTGCAGCACATCCATACGAAGAAGTCCTGAAACAAATTTGGATTGCGACTTTTACGGGCCACAACATATACTATAGAGCGTAGCAAGAAAGATCATAGAGTCTATAGTCCTAAATTCAATTATGGAATACAATTGCTGTATATATCTACATATCAATTAAACAGTCTTTAAGCGTTATAGTATTAAATTTATCCTAAGCTGAACTGAAACCAAATAAAATGTTGTTTTGAATTTAAATTGAAGATGACTTATTAAAAATCAGAGAATATACATAAATTAAACATTCAACTGCAAAGCAAAGCATGTAGAGAAATGAATAACCATTTCTTATTCCCTACATAAACAAAGTTCCATATTTAATAGCTAGGGTTTAATATAAGTAATTTTCTTTTATCTGAAGTCTCTGGTTGAGCACAATGATGACAACATAGAGATTGCAGCAGAAAGAATAGTTGAATAGGGGTTGCATTTGCAATGAATGTAATGAATTCTATCTAAATATATCATATATACATGATTTGATTAAGAAATTCGAATCGAAGGGAAAGTTGAACAAAGATCCCATGATAAAGCCCATATATGTATGTATAAATATGTGTGTGCATGTGACATTTAATATGTATGTATGTAGAAAAGAAACATTTCATGGATAGATTCAGCTTAGGGCATGCCCATATCAACTATTGCTATGGTGACATACTTGCTCTATTTGAAGAGCTACTTCAAGATATAATATTTATGAGCTTTTGAGTTTTTAATTTGTTTCTAAAATATTTACAGGTTGAACAAAAATTAATTAAGTGTTTTTTCATTATATATTTATAGTTTTTGATTTCAGAAGAAATACTTTATTCAGCTCAAGCTGAATTTGTCATGGTGACTAAACATACTCTTAAAGATACTCTCGGAATCTTTGTTTGATTTGAAGTTATACTAACCTTTACATTTTCCCAAATTTTAAAATATAAAATAAAAATATGCACAACTTCATGTATTTTACATTTTATTTATTGCAATTTCATAATTATTTTCAAAAATATATTTATCAATTTTATTATACATATATATACATACCTTACATATTGACTCAACTCGAAACCCTGTAGGAATGTCAAAGAGAATTATGTGCTAAAAACACAATATTCTTTTGGGATCGGCTCATTTCAAGATTTTAATGTGATCATCTTAGGAAATATCTCCGTTTGCTGTAAAGCTTCTTTATTTTTCATAATTTACATTCAATGTGGGTTGTTTGTTTTATTATTGTGCTGAGCATATTTATTTATTTGTTAAAGTTTTTAAAAATTTATAAATTTTTATATAGTTTCATTTGATCTTATTGTAATATGCGCATATTTTGTTATA